CTAGTTACACAATTGCCCCCACTAGTGACACCCCCATCAGGACCTGGACCAAATTCTATTCCCCTAGTCTTGGGAAGTTCCAATGGGATGTTTAGAGTTTTAGCTCAAAAAGGCACAAACATGGGGTATTTAGTTTGTTAAGATTAAAAAGGCACAAACAGGTTCCCTCTTCATTACATGAGGGAATGTGCCTTCTTTGCCAAATGGGAAATCCAGCCCTCTCTAAATGCTTTTAGAAGCACCTGAAGAGTATTTCTATTTTTTCCACTTATCGTTACTGAATACTTCTAATTAGATATACTCTTCAGAATGTCTCCTATGCACTGTATATTTGAGATTAACCCACTGATTTTCAGTAATATCTAATATTCTGGGCTGCAAATACCATTCCAAAATCTTGCTTTAGTTCATGATTTGTTTTGAGATGTGTTTTGGATCATTGTCTTATTGGAATACAAATCCTTTTCACCTTCAGTTTCTTCTCTGGCTGTGTGATACTAGCTTCCAAGATTTGTTGATATTTATTGGAATCCTTATTTCTCCACCTTTATAATGTCTACTGTGCCACAGGCAACCATATAACCTCAAAGCAAATTAGATCACCTCAGGGCTGGCTAGTGTCAATTCTGTGCATATTCCTATGCACAGATTTGCATCAACTGGCAATGAATGGCCGGTGGAATTGAATTTTGTCTCACTGGTGATAGGAGGACCTTCATCAGTTTGCCCAGGAAAGAGTGCAAACCGTTGTAAAATTATGTTCTCCATTACTGGGAAACGGGTCCAAGGTAATACTGGTATCATAACCACTGCAGCTCTGTGTAGTGGTTATGATGCTTGGAATAGCTTTTTAATTTTATTTAGCCTTTAATGAAGATCTTAATTTTTTCTTATCAGACCATAGTACTTGGAGGTTTCTCTTGGTATTCCACATCTTTTACTTCAACAGTTCCTCTTAACTTCCATTGCTTCAAGGACCACTATAGGCACCCAGACCACTTCAGCTTAATGAAGTGGCCTGGGTGCCATGTCCATCTAGGATGAACCCTTTCTGCTGTAAACATAGCAGTTTCAGAGAAACTGATATGTTTACCTATGGGTTAATCCTGCCTCTAGTGGCTGTCTCATTGACAGCCGCTAGAGGCGTTTCCGTGCTTCTCACTGTGATTATCACAGTGAGAAGACGCTGCCGTCCATAGCAAAGCATTGAAAATGCTTTCCTATGAGACTGGCTGAATGTGCGCGCGGCTCGTGCCGAGCATGTGCATTCAGCCGATGACGGGGAAAGGAGGCGGAGAGTCCCCAGCGCCGAGGGATCCCGGTGGTGGAGAAAGGTAAGTGTTTAACCCTTTCCTCACCCTAGAGCCTGGTGGGAGGGGGGGCCCTAAGGGTGGGGGGGGGGGGACCTAGAGACCCTAGAGTGCCAGGAAAACGAGTATGTTTTCCTGGCACTATAACGGTCCTTTAATGACATTTCAGACAGTGTGCAGATAACTTTGTAACAGACAAGCATATTATCAGACCCTCAGTTAGCTGCTTAGACCATCCCATGGTAGTTGAGTGTAAGCATAACACACTGACATTTTCCAAGAATCAGAGAAGATATTGAGCTCTGGAACTGTCACTACTTGGTGATGATCAAGGATTAATAAGTCAATAGACAATTGATGTTCTAAGACCATACAAATAAGTCACAAGTGGATCAACTAAAAGGGTGTCCTGATTCTTATACATAACTCATTTACTGTCTGCATTCTATCAGATAAAGAGACGCTTAACATTTTTCACATATATGATATCAGAAAAGGAGCCTAGATCTAAGATATCCACGAGACTCATGTAGGTGCCAAACTATTAAAAAATGGTTTGACTAGTTACAATCGGACAATACCACCATAACCAAGCACTCAATAAACCCTTCTCTAACAAACTATTTAATTCCCCTACTTTAACCCTTTGTGTCACCATACCCCACTCCCTCTAGCATGTAAGCTCATCGAGCAGGGCCCTCAACCCCCTCTGTTCCTGTACGTCCAGTGGTCTGATCTCAATTATGTGTCTGTTAGTCCACCCATTGTACAGCGCTACAGAATTTGTTGGTGCTATATAAATAATAAAATAACAATAATAGTATGCTTTGTAATACTCTATAATCCCATGCATACAGTCAGATATGTATAGGACGGCAAAAATATTCTATAACGCACTAATAAAAATAATTTAATCATATTTTATACATCACATATTTACGGAATCCATGAGTACAAGAGAACCATCTCAATATGCAGACTTCACTGCTGTTAGGATGAAAGATTCCATCCGGACAATAAGATTTTGCAAGCCTTACAAATACCGTAACTACATAAGTCTTTTGATTTCAGCCCGTCTATGAATATTAAAATGAGTTATTCTGTGGAATTTTTCTATTTCCTATGTTCAAAAGACGCCATAAAGAATTGTCATTTGCCATCGTCTGCATGGTTTTGGCTTTCATGTCTCTGCGAATAATAAATTTACAATCTGCAGCTTTTGTATCAGATACTATTATATGTGATCTTATACGCAAGACTGGAATAGGTTCCTCACAGTTCATTTGTGAAAGATATAGAAAATAGTTTGCCAAGCATGATACTTTTATTGCAAAATTAGTTGTGCATATAGCATGTGTGACGGTAGTCACCATAACCTGGACCTTCAGACAGACTATTTATATAGGTTGTGGGACTTTTCTTATGTTTTAGTCACCTTGTACCCATTATAGGTGCAGGGTCTGTGTAATGTAATTGTTTAGTGTTAAATGTTAGTGTGCTTTCCTGTATTGCTAATGCTTGTAATCAACTAGGTGGATTGGGCTGTGCAACCTGTACAGCGCCACCTGTTGGTTGCAAGGATCTGGCAACCGCTGTATGCCCTACCTAAATAGCAAGGATTGCTAATTTGCATATTCAGGTAGATTTGTACATTGCTATTTCTGCAAGCAGCAGAGATGTTTTGTGTTAATTATTGCCTTTCCCACACCTTTATAAATATGTCATTATGTTATTATAAGTTCATGTATGTTGTCTAATGTGATTTGAGTGTTTTATATTTTTTTTGAGTTGTCACAGTAAGCTTAATGTAATTATCATATGGGCTAGTCCCAAGAAAACTAAATTTTTGTTTGTCAGATCCTTTTGGAACTTGTGTCTTTTGTAGATTTTTAGGGAATATAGTGACAGAATATTTGGACCTGTTTGATGGTTGTAGGACCCTCTAGCCCTGGGATAAATCAAGAGAGCTAGACCTGAGAGCCGCAATTACCTTTGTAAAGACAATAACTATAATCACTGTAAGCAGAGCTGCTGTGGAATAGGCAGAGGAGACGATACCTGTCTGGAAGGAGGGCTACAGAGTGGACGGTACCTGCCTGGAAGGAGAGCTGCTGCCTGACCGGGTGCAAAAGCTCCAGAAGGACCACAGTCAAGCTGCGGCGACTGAGGCAGAAGCGTTCCAGGGTCCCTGCAAGCAGCTAGTAAGTGGACTTGGCAGAGGTACCCAGAGAGGTACAGGCAGCTCCATCACAGAATGTAACACATGGTCTTACATATTTAAATCTAATAAAATCAAATTAGACAATAAAATAAAAAAAGAGTGCATATGGGCTGACTTTAAATTGCTTGGGTTTTAAATCATGTATGCATGTTATGTTCGCATGGATTTTTTCCACGCTCCAAGCATCTCTTTATATATAAATCTATATGTAGCTTCTTTGCTGTTAACTTATTTTGTCCTTACTTATGTAACTAAGCATTTTTATTTGGAGTACTTTTTTTTTCAAACGAAAAGTCACAGATCTCAGTGGGGATTGTCCGCACACACTTAACATATGGAGGATAAAAAAAGCTCAAAATAGTGATATAATCAGTATTCGTATATGAGGCTGTCGGGAGTGAGCATGAGGGTCTGCAGCAGTTCAGTCATAACTGGTCCCCATGCTGCCTGTGTGACTCCCTCCCACATGGGCTCTCTTATGAAGTGATTGGCTGTCACTTCCTCCCAGCCGGCCGATACTACAGTGTTCCTGGTTACACTCTTAAAGGGCAGGGCACCTGACTGGGCCACTGTCCAGCGATACCTATCAGATGGATCTAAATGTATGGGCCTAAGTGACCAAAAACATGGACAGAGCTAAAAGGGATAAAATCAGCAGCAATCACGTACATTTGTGACATAAAATATCCAAAACCAGAAATGGGGTTGGATCCTGGTTTTGAATCCTAAATGTATGGGCCACCCAATGGGCCCCTCCAAATTGTTGTGGGCAGCGAGCCCATAAGGCAGCTGCTTTGTGCCCCCAGGTGCTAATGGGCCTGGGGCAGCAGCCCCCCGTTTGCCCCTAGTTAAAGACAGCCCTGCTTGTTATTTCTTTTCCAGAAGAATAGTTTGAGATACTTTCCCCTCTGTTCCTTTTGCCACCCCTCCCTTGGTGTGGAACCTTCAAGCAGACCTATATTACCGCAGACAATCAAACATAGACATCCAGGGAGAAGTGGGATCCCTACAGACACGCAAGTGAGTAACCAACTAGATTGCTGTAATCTGTCTGTCTATCGATAGTTGAAAATATTAAATAACATTGTATTATAACAATTTTACATTGTTTTAAGATAATGCATTACACTTCTTGGAGGGGGTGGTTATTTACTAACCACTAACCACCAAATTTTAGTTAATTGAAATCAGAATTATAAAAATTAGGCACAAAAGTGATGGTTTGGAAAAATTCTCCAATAATGCTATAGTCACAGTTTGGCTATATAAGCCTGAAATTTGACTGTCAGTTCACTTATATTTGATGTTTATTGGATAAAACCACAGTTAGCAAATGCCTTCATACCAACACAGAGTGAAAGCGAATTTGGGAAAATATTAAATTATACAGTATCTCACAAAAGTGAGTACACCCCTCACATTTTTGTAAATATTTTATTATGTCTTTTCATGTGACAACACTGAGGAAATGACACTCTGCTACAATGTAAAGTAGTAAATGTACAGCCTGTATAACAGTGTAAATTTGCTGTCCCCTCAAAATAACTCAACACACAGCCATTAATGTCTAAACCGTCTGCAACAAAAGTGAGTGCACCCCTAAGTGGAAATGTTCAAATTGGGCCCAATTAGCCATTTTCTAAAAATTAGAAAAACACAACTTCTGGCACAAATACTGTTGCACTTTATCAGCAATCTCACCAGTGAAATAAGAAAATAAAAAAGGGTATTCACACACTAGGGTGACATGTAAAAATAATTTAATAACAGTAATGAACATGCACAGGCTCTCACAAAATCCAAGATATGGAAAATAACCTTTTATTATCCCAGCGGAATCAGTTTTTCGAGATGGGAATATCTAAACATTTTGAAATGAATAAAGTCAAGTTCTTGAATATAAAAAAATAAAACCACTGGACTCAATCCAGGACAGTAAATGGATTTGCCTAGAATAAAACCTTTAACTTAAAGCAACATTTCTTTTTCATTTTAATATTGCAAACAGCATACTTATTGTGAATAATAAATATTATATTCCTTGCTATAGTTTTATTTAACGTAATCTGTCCTTGATTTCCAATTCCTCCTTTTTGTCACCAGTCACTACATCCATCTGACTTAAATAACCATGATACTTTCCTGATTTATGGGATATCTCTTCGTCGGTTATTTTAAATCATGCACATTATTTTAGCTAATTTCTCTACGAGGCTTCCACCCAATGACATTCCTGCATAGATTCATATTCCAAATGGACATTAAGCTAGTGAATTGTTCAGAGTGGTGATTAAAAGTAATCGCTCTTCAAAATGTCCTTTATGAATAATTGTAATACTATAAAATAGCATTTCAAATTACTCCAGTATTCTTTTACTCTATGCCTGCTCTTGTAACAGGGCTTCAACAAATGAATAATATTATATTTTAAAAGATAATACACTGCTTAGAGGTTTAATTGTTGAGCATGGGGAATTCTGCAGAATTTATTATCTTAGACCAAATTGTGGAATTTTAGTGTCTTGGATATTTTGGGTTACAATTTGTAAAACCTTTTCCGCAGTTCCCAATTCATTAATAAAATCCTATAAAGTTTTCTGACCTTTTTCAATTGAAGAAAAATACTGTTTAAACGTTACATAATATAGGGTCTGTTCTTTAAACGCAAGCTGCAAAGTTTAGGCCACAATAATTGAAATTCTGCTAGTGATAGCTATATCTTGGCTATTGAAGCCTAAATTAAGTAATTTGTCACAATTTGCTATAGAATAAACCTCACATATTGCAAATTAATGTTTTGTGACTTGTGCTTAACTGCTAAATTAAATTCAGGGTATGTGCTGAATTGGAGCTCTGTATAGTAAATTGTCATTTGACCTATGAGCAGGGATGTGTCTACCGCGAGGCAAACAAGACATTTGCCTTGGGCGGCAATTTCCCCCAAATGCCCAGGCAAATACCTTGTTTGCATAGTTTAATGGAAGCCCAAGAGCTGGCCGGCTGGCCACCTTTGGGCTCCCCTGGGACAGGCGGTTGTTTCGCAGCCGGGAGCTGGAATATGATGTCAGAGAGAGCTCAGGGGAAAGTGCTCCATCGCCGTCCACCCGCATGCATGTCCGGCCGCCTCCTTGCCCAGCAACCCCAGGTGAAAAATCCACCCAGCTATCCCAAAAGTAGGGAGGCTGCATGGATTTCAATTAAAAAAATTAAATAATAATAATTGTGAGTGGGGGAAATGTGTGTGTGTGTCAGTGAGTGTGTGTCAGTGAATGTGAGTGTGTGTTAGTGAGTATGTGTCAGTGAATTTGAGTGTGTGTGTGTGTCAGTGAATTTGAGTGAGTGTGTATGTGTCAGTAAATTTGAGTGTGTGTGCCTGTCAGTGAGTGTGTGCCTGTCAGTGAGTGTGTGTCTGTCAGTGAGTGTGTGTGTGTCGGTCAGTCAGTGTGTATGTGTCGGTCAGTGAGTGCGTGCGTCTGTCAGTGAGTGCGTGTGTCTGTCAGTGAGTGTGAGTCTGTCAGTGTGTGTTCGAGTAATAGTGTGTCTGTCTATCAGTGTGTCAAATCAGTGAGTGTGTGTATGTCATTGTCAGTGTATATGAGAGTGTGTGTCGGTCAATGAGTGTGTGGGTCTGTCAGTGAGTGTGCCTCTGTCAGTCAAAGTGCGGCCTTGACAGGAAGGGGTGGGGAAAATTTAAATTAGGTGGGTGCCCGAGCACCGTCCTGCGTAGGGCAGCACAAATCCTAAATACACCACTGCCTATGAGTGCTAATATAATAGATATGGGGCAGCATTGTCTTTAAAGTACCATTAGTGAAATGATCACTGGCTTCCAAGATATCATCACTGTAACATTTGGCACATGATAAATACCTTGGAATGTTTATGTAGCACACATTAATATGACAGATGGTTAATCAAATCACACAAATATAACACATATACAGCAGGCAAACAAAGCGATTTAATGAAAACTACCATCTGTTTTAATGCTAAACAAAGTATTGATGTTCGAAATGTAATTTATTATGAGCTACATGTAAAGATATATATATATATTTAAAAAACTTACATTAAAAAAAACATGGTGACAAAGATAAACCTCTGTACATGACATGATACGTGAGTGAATTTTAACTCTAAGCACTATGACCACTGCAAATTATTGTTCTTAAGTGATTTGACAAGAATCGGGGTTCTCCCAGCAACCTCTGCATGCCTGGTACTTATTGACTGCATTTCAGATTTTACTTTGCCAACCCATAAATACATTGTAAAGTATAAATTAGTAAATGTGAAAATCTATTGGCATATTATTATTATTTTTCTTACATATAAAATGTAACAGGCCCTATATGGAATGGATGCTTCTGATACAATTATCAGCAAATTATATTACAGAATAGGGACATACATTATTTAAATCCTTTTAATCTCTCTATTGATTTGCTCATGTTAGGGGAATAGGTTGTACTTAATCCCATTCTTTCTCAGAAGCGATTCCAATAAATAAGTCGTAGATCTGAATAAAAATACAAATCTCTGCTGATCAATAAAAATAAATGAATCTAATGGGGCATGCTTAAGATAAATTCAAAGACCCATAACCACTACAGCACTGGGACAAGTATCATTGCTCTCCAATGTAGGACAACATTGTCTGACAAACAGTGAAGGAAAATAAAGAGTTTTGACAAGAAATAGGGGGAATGGGCCCAACAAATTGTTGCTTCATAACCACTACAATAATCTGTAGTGGTTTTAGTGCTTAGAGTGTCCTTTCAAACAAATGAAATAATCTTCATCATTACAGTCATGGTAAGTGAGTGCTTAGTTTGACCAACACACTCACAAGCTAGGATCTGTAGAGTATAGATGAATAGCTATGAGTTACAATTTAAATTCAAGTAGAATACAACACTATGTGGAATTTTAAAATAGATAAGCTGCACCCTATGCTCAAAAATAATCATTTGATATTTTTCTGTCAATGCGATGTTTCTAATGTTTTTGGCAATTGCCTGCAAATGTGCTTGTAATGGAAAATAATGGTGAGCCAAAATCCAGAATTCAAATTTACTCCTCCACTGTTACAGTAAAATTGTGTGCACCTGACCTCCCACTGCAACTAGACTTTTCCACCTAGCCATATGCAATTGCATTTATAAACTGAGCATTTAACACACAGACAATCCATCCTCACGAGCAGTCTGAGCATAGAGAACTCCCGATGGGTTTCTTCCTGTCTTTTCAGCCATGTAGTGTAAGGAATCATTCCTATGGGTCACTGGACACACACAGTCCATGTATAATTGGCATGGGGCACAGATGCATTAATAGGTGGCAGAGCATCAAAGAATATTAAACCCATAGAGAATATCTGTATCTGTTCATAACAAACACCATTCCTTTGTGCCTTTTGTTGTACTATGGGAGGTGAGGCTTTGATGCACTCAACCTGGAAATTGTAACAATATTTTCAGGCTTTCTATTAGAAGGACTCTTCAAATAGCGTCATGGAGGAGTAGATAAAAAAGTTATGTTTTCCATCCTTGCAAGAGTGCTGTCTTGGCGTCATACTTGATTCTGGCCTCACCTTTGAGCCTCACATTCAGCATGTTGCCAAATTCTGTAGATTCCATCTTAAAAACATAGCCCACATTCGCCCCTTTCTTGCACAAGATGCTACCAAGGAGTTTGTCCATGCTCTAGTAATTTCCCCCATGGATTATTGTAACCCTCTCCTGATTGGTCTTCCCAAAAGCCGTACTGCACCACTACAGTCCATAATGAACGCTGCTGCCAGACTGATTTTCCTCTCTAGTCGGTTCTCTCACACCTCACCCCTCTGCCAGTCCTTACATTGGCTTCCTGTATGCTATAGGAGTAAGTTCAAGGTATTAATTCACACCTCTAAAGCACTGAACAACTCTAGCCCCTCTTATATCTCCTCACAGATCCATAGGCATGTCCCTTCTTGGTCTCTCCGCTCTGCCCGTGACCACCTCCTGTCTGTTGACCGCACCCGTATGGCCAACTCATGCTTGCAGGACTTCTCGCGGGCGGCTCCCTTCCTATGGAATAGCCTGCCTACCGCCATCAGACTCTCTTGCATCTTTTAAGAAGTGCCTTAAAACACATCTCTTTAGGAAAGCTTATGGCCTCCAAGACTAACCTCTACCTCACATACCTGTCTCTTGCTCTCTCCTAAAGGGCAGCCCTCCTTATTTGACTGCAGATTCCTGTCCTAATGTGTTTTACACCCCACCTCCTATAGAATGTAAGCTCGATTGAGCAGGGTCCTCTTCAACCTATTGTTCCCCTAAGTTTTTTTGTAATTGTCCTATTTATAGTTAAATCCCCCTCTCATAATATTGTAAAGCGCTATGGAATCTGTTGTAAATGGCAATAATAATAATAATAATAATATGTGCCAAACATGCACACACAGTGAAAGCCCCCATGTGAGATAGCAACTAGTAAATTAGGGGAGCGATGCAGGAAAAATAACCGCAGAGACCTCATTTCCTGGCCTTTCTAAATATTGCCCTTCCTAAATGTCAATAATTTAGGAAGGGCAATATTTAGGAAGAATCAATAATAATATAGAAAAAGAGAGAAAATTATTCTCCTTAATTTTTATAACTCTGCCTTTTTTTTCTCTATATTATTCATTTCACC